CTACCAGTTAAATATGAATCAGTTTTAACTCTGCTTATGAAGATTTTAGATTTTTAAAACATCCTTTAATAAATTGTGGGTTTTTTTTAAAAAAACCTTTAGCATTCCCTTGTCAATACACTCATTCTCCAGATTTGTATAAGAAAATACAGTCATTCTTTAGATTTGTATGCAGAAGCTCATGCTGCATCTAGAGGCAGGTAGCTGTGTCAGTGCTCATGTAAAAATCATACAGGTCAAATGTGAAAACTTAAATTTCCATTGTCCGTAGGATGAAAATAGACGTTCCGGAAGTAATTTTAATTCATAACTGCAAGATGGGCAGAACAGCATAGCAGTCACACACTGAACCAGAAGGTCTATGATGGACAGCAGGATCACAAACTAGACTGTAAGTAGTAAACCACAAATATGAATAGATGATACTGGTAGGAGAATGTAGCTGTAAATCCTGAAACTTGTTGGGATGCAGAGACAGGCTAATATCTGAAACACCACTTTTAATGGATTCTGTTATTAGGAAATCTGTTTGAAGCAGGTAAGTGATGATATAATGACCTTTCTTTTAATATGTGCAATGTAACAAAATCTTACGTATTTCTGTAATGGGTAATGGAGGGTTTGACTTTGTTCCCATGAAAAAATTTCTGGATAGAGAGGTCCAGGAATTGATGTATGTACAGAAGGTGTGTTCAGTCTCAGGATTTGTACTGCATCCAATTTTTAGTTGTGCCATCTAAAAGAGTAGGTGAGCAGCTGCTCTGTGGGTGCACAACAGCAGAGAATCTGCCAACATGATGTGCGTCTGAGGTTGGTGCACAAGCCTCTCTATAGTCATAAAAAATTTCTGGATAGAGAGGTCCAGGAATTGATGTATGTACAGAAGGTGTGTTCAGTCTCAGGATTTGTACTGCATCCAATTTTTAGTTGTGCCATCTAAAAGAGTAGGTGAGCAGCTGCTCTGTGGGTGCACAACAGCAGAGAATCTGCCAACATGATGTGCGTCTGAGGTTGGTGCACAAGCCTCTCTATAGTCATAAAATATGATTATTCCTAATTAGTGAATGGCAGTTGTAAGCTGTCAAGAGACTGTAATGTGTGTGCAAATTAAAAAATATAGCAGTAAAGGTGGGAGATGCAGATTTACCAAAATTAGATGTTGCAGCAAGAAATAGCATTGGTAAATGTGGTGAAAGCCAGTATCTTTCTTTAGGGGATGAGCTAAAAAGCTGCTGACTTTCTTCCTGTGAGTTTGCAACTTGCTGGGGAGTTTAGAGGGCAGACTTGCCTGATTGCTAAGAAACAGTCAACACATCACTTTTGTGTGGAGGATGTCTGCAGCACACTGCAAAGAGAAGTAGCAAGTACCCTGACAGAGAAAGAGGAGTGCAGGAAGAGACTTTCTGCTCTAGACCTTGGTCACTGCTAAGGACAAAGAGTGTATTTGTAGATGTGTGCACACATAAGACCCATAAGGCTCATATTATTTATCTGTCACAAACTAAAATCCTGGTTTCTGCCCATAGCAGGCCTGAATGTGGAACAAAGCAATGGACAAAGAGAATAAAATCAGTTAGCAACATAGCAATGTCTAGGTCTGGAACTCACAGGATTTAGTCCAATATAATAGGCCTGTAAAAGATCATGAAACCCTACAGCTAAACCACAGGTTAGCAGGTAATTTACCTCTGTAAATATAATATACTGCATATAAACTGGCAAGAATCTACCTTCAAGAGCTGATGGGTCATAGGATGAACCTCATTTATGAACACTGAAGAACATAGACCACTTTCCAGTCCACAGAAAAAAATCTGAAGAAGTGATGGTACTCCAGTTTTGGGTGGGAAGAAAGATCATTGGACAGTATTACACCTATTTTAAGTGGGGAATTTCATAGGGTTATGACTGAGTCAACTGGATCTCTTCCTCGGTAAGTCACTGGAAACTGAGATTCCTTTAAAACCTATTTATAGTTGCTTGATATTCAGCTTTGATTCCTTCCATTCTAAAATGACATGCAGAAATGGAGAAAAGCAATGCTTGCATGCAGAGAGCAAAAGTGACTCTTTCATAGCTGTAGAGTGAGAATAAATAACCAATTGTATTGATTTACATGCATTTAGGAACTACAATCAATTTAGAAGTCTGTTTTCCAAGCACTATGTCATAGCTCTTGGCAGATTAGCCTAGAAGAAAGTTCTAGTGATGTGTGGCAAAGACATTTTTTATGATCTAAAGGAAAAATCTAGTTCTTCTGGTGCTACAATCAGGCCAAGCACCCAGTCAGTCTTTTACAATACTGAAAGAAGACATAGTCAACAGAGGTTTGCAAATATATTTCTTTACTCTTACTGTAAGGCCAGTCATACCTTAGCTATAAAGGCACCAATCCAAAAAGTGCTGTTATATAGAGGACAATTGATTTTACTTATTCCCAAAGGATATTTTGGGAAGGTGATAAGAAGTAAGCTCAACATGAGACACATTAAGATATATAAGCTAGTTTACATACAAATAAGTGAACTTGCAAGAACTTTTAAAAGAATATCAATTAAACATCTAGACATGAATGAAAATATCTTCAGTCATGGTAGTTAAAATAAATATGACTAGAATTAGTTGGCATTTTATCCTTTATGTACATTATTGCACATTCATGGAAGATATATTTGAACTTTTTTATTTTGTGAAATATTTATGTCTGTTTCTGTTAAAAGTACCCTATGGGATTTGAGTAACATAATTACCCTACAGTTTCTTAATGCTAATACTCTTAAGAAAGAGAGGAATGCCATATCTTCAGAGAATCTTATGGAAGACTAATCATAATAATGGTCTGAAATACAGAAGGAACACATTTAGTGGAAATACTGAATATGAACCTAATGAGTAAATTAATCATGCTAGTGAAGTCTCTTTCTCAGTGGATGACCTTCTATCACTCATTTCCATTTTCAGAACTGAGTCTTCTCTACCAATATCTTCTGCTACTTGAGGTATTCAGTGATGATCAGTACTCGGATCAGTATGTTAGTAATTTGTGATTTAGAAAAAAAGTGGCTGTTGGTTGAGGAGTGTTTCATTTCAGTTCGGACATAACAATCCTCTGGTCTCCCAAATATGTGCATCATAGTGTCAAGTATATCAAAGGAACAACTAGAAGTGACCGACAAAACTAGGATCTGCAAGGTAAGAGCAGCAAAGGGAAGACTGGTCACAACACCTTTTCCAGGAAAAATTATGGCATGGGATCAATCTCATTTTCCCGAGGAATAACAAGAAACATGTTTCTTTCCCAAGGAAGAAGGCAAAACATAGAAAAAAAAGACAGACTCATTAGCAAGCACAGGTGTTTGAACAGACCTAGTGAGCTATGCTGCCCCAAAAACTGAAGAAATTATCTGAGAAGTTTCTTTCTATAACCAGTCTTCTATAAAGTGTCTCTTTCCTTTTCCAGTGTTGCTTAATCATTCATGTTGCTGGCCAGAGACCTTGTGGATGACTCTGCCCCATTGTCAGATCAGACACTGAGTTGTATATTACATTTTCCTTCTGCACGTAAGTGGTATAAGGTTCCACTTCCATTGTGTCATCCTAGAAAAACAATACCAAAAACTGTAAATACAAGGAGTAGTTTAGTTTGGCAAGACTCTGCAAGTCTTTACTAATAGTTTTCTTAATATTCCCCAATCCATGCTATTGCCTCCCCTTCCTGAGTAGTGTTTGGACAGCAGTTGTGGTCAGTGTATCTGATATAACCAGGGTGATATGGTGGGGCTAACTTCTTGCTAAGATAAAGGATGGCAGTAGTTCACAGTTGGCAGTTGGAACATGCCTCTAGTGTTTGCTCCAAGACAAAATTGTGGTGAAACTAAGTTTTGCTTTGTCCTATACACAGCTAAGAGCAAAGACAACAGTAGTCCCTGCTGAAAACAGAGAGTAAAAATCCAATGTTTTCCCCTTACTGATCATGTTTTCAGGGCTATCAGAAGATCACTGGTTTGGTGATGGTCTAATTTGCATCATTTGCCTTACCTGTGGGGATTGTGTTGGAGAAGGTTCAGGAGGTTTGGTTTTGTGGCACAGTCTGTAAAAAAGAAAACAAGTATTGAAGCAAATTCCTTCCTCAGTCCTATGTTTGGCTGGATCACAGCCTGGTTTCTTTGATCAGAAGCTTATGAAACATTTCTTTTCCCTGTCTCCAAGAGTGAAGCCTTCTCAAGTCTCCCTCTCCTTGACTTTTGATCCTGAAATTATAGCACTCTGACTTCCTTTAGAGGTCTTTTCTCGTCTTTGTGGGACCTTAAGCACAAAAAAATTCCTTCCTCAGTCCTATGTTTGGCTGGATCACAGCCTGGTTTCTTTGATCAGAAGCTTATGAAACATTTCTTTTCCCTGTCTCCAAGAGTGAAGCCTTCTCAAGTCTCCCTCTCCTTGACTTTTGATCCTGAAATTATAGCACTCTGACTTCCTTTAGAGGTCTTTTCTCGTCTTTGTGGGACCTTAAGCACAAAAGCAGAAGATCTTTTGATCCTGAAATTATAGCACTCTGTCTTCCCTTAGAGGTCTTTTCTCATCTTTGTGGGACCTTAAGCACAAATTGGAAGCAGAAGATTAAAATCAAAGGCCTCTGTAAGGATATACATTTTGTGGTTAATGAAATTGTATTGAACTAATTCTCCACCTCTGAAGGAAAAGATTTGGGAGAAAAACAGTTTGGGAACAGAGAAATGAGGGAACTTAGTTGAGGTTTTCAGTACAGGTGCTAATTCAGTCTTTCACTGCACAAATGATTTCTATGGTTTTTCCTTGGAACTACTTTTTTTTTTGTTTTTCATAGGAAACCCTAAAGGGGCTGGAATCCAGCTTCACCCAGGGAACTTCTTCATAAATACAGATACAATCTGCTGCCCCTTCTGGTCATACACTGGTCAGTCATCTGGCATTTGATAGAACTTATTAGGCAGCAGAACCAATGCCCTGTTCTAAACAAGAGAGACAGACACTGACTGCCACAGTATCTGAAGAACGACTTTGCTCTTATAAATTCCTATTAGAATGAAGAGCTCCCCTTTAGTTTAGCAGGCAATGCAACAAAGATCCTCTGCCAACTTCTGCCTATACATATTTTACTCAGGTGCATTATTCAGTGAAGATGTGTGCAATGCACAGTGTCTGCAGTATAGAAATATCTGGTACAGTTAATTCAATTATTCATAGCAGCACACACTGACAGAATCACATGATTTCAAGACACAAACAGTACTTAAAAATTTCTTCTAGCACTAGACAATTTTTCCTTAGCACCCTATCATACATACCTATCACTGTGGAGCTTGAAAAACCAAATTACTGCCATGAGGATGATAATGCTCAGAAGACAAAGAATGATGTAGACACTCAGGAGAGAGATGTCATTATCTAAACACAAAGAGTAAGTCTTAATTGTATCTTCTTAATGCTCAGTTTCTGTATTACTTCACTATAAGACTAAAGTTGCTTTAGCACATACACTTTCTGTATTACTTCACTATAAGACTAATGTTGCTTTAGCACATACGTACATTTTCAACATGCTTGTAAAATAAATATAGTGCCCTTCAGCAGAAGAGGAAGTCAGTAATGAAACTGGGCCGAGAAACACCAATGGAATCTGTGTCAGAGACAAAAGTAGGCCCCCCAAATCTCACATTGGACATTCACGATATTTTTTCACTAAGACACACCTAAGCCCCTCTCAAGGACTCAGCATTTCTCAGTAGTGCAACTTGTGTTTAGTTCTCAAAAGCAATGAAAAAAGCAAAAAGCAGAAACCAAGGGTCATACACTGTCTGATATTCAGGATGCAGAAGGAAGTGAATTGTTTCTGCTGGTCACATAAGAGTTGGCTCTTTGCATAGAAAAAAACCTTGCTGATGTTCCTATTCCAAGTGATTATTATAACAAAAGATCATGACTGCTTTGTCTCCATTTCCAACACTTCCACTACCAAAAGAATGCTACAATAACAACATATATCCCTCGTAGGTAAGAAGGCATTAGGAAATAGTGTCAAGAACACAAACAACTTGGTGATGTTTCTGGGAAAAGGCAGATGGGGATGGTACTCTTGTCTTTATGAGACTTAACTGAAGGTTTCTATAGCTTTTATAGATTTTCTTTTCTAGAAGGAACAAGTGAGCACAAGAGGCTGACCAGGGTTTTGAACACCAAACACACAAAGGGAGCTTACTTGAGGGATGACAGACTATGGACTTGCTCCAGTTCACAGCTGGGTGGAACACCATGCAGGTTGCATTAATCACATTGCTGCTATGTTCTGTGAACCTGCTGAGAACAGTCACTGTCCCGTTCTTGTGACCTTCTTCCTCAGGGGTGGAGTTGCTCCCCACGACCCACAAGACCTGAGCAGGAGGCTTCCCTGCCGCTGCCTCGCACACAGGGGTCCCGCGGTCATCACAGTACAGGCTCAGCCTTGGGTGGACTGCAAAGCATGAGGAAGGAGATGCACAGAGTTAGTTTGCTGCAGCTGAGCTGGGATGTTCTTGTTCCCTACCCAAAATGAACACAGTGAAATGAAAAGAATAGGGTTGGAGGTGCCATGCCATTACAGCAACATTGGCTCAAGTCACAAGAGACAAAGATTGTGTCTCTTTTTTCCTTTTGGACAGCTCTCCCCCATTCAGGTGAGCCTTATCGCATCCATTCTTCATATCCTCTGTTAGTATATGGGAAATTGCTTCAGACTTGTTGTTTCTAACTAGTCTGTGGAAAAGGGGACAGCAGAAGGGAAGAGAGATTTGGGGAAATAAGGAGAAGGGAGACACAGAGATACTATCAATTAAATGCATAACAGTTTATCCCACCAAGAATCATAGAATGGTTTGGGTTTGAAGGGACCTTAATGATCATCTAGTTCCAACTCCCCTGACATTGTCAGGGACATCTTCCACTAGATCAGGTTGCTCAAAGCTGCATCCAGACTCACCTCGAACACTTGCAGGGAGGAGACATCTACAGATTCTCTTGGAATTCTGTTCCAGTGTCTCACTACTCTCACTGTGCAGAATTTCTTCTTAATATCTCATCTAAATCTGCCCTCTTTCAGTTAAAAGAAAACCACAAACAAACTAAACAAACAAAAAAAATGCCCTCCACTTCTTACTGCACATTTCCCCCATGCATGGGGTGGGACGCTTTGTATGTCCAGGCCCAGACATGGTCCTTTGGAGAGCTGTAAGAGGGGAAGGAGTCCCTTACCCAGCACGGTCAAGTAGTATCTCTCCTGGTAATTCCCTTCTGTTGCTGCTATTTCGCAGGTGTAATCTCCCTCCTGGGCTATTCCCACTTGCCGTATCTCAAGGGCAGCATCCAGATCTGGTCTGAATTTCCAGTTTATGCTGTCACTGCAGTTTGTTCTGTCTGTCGTGTTCAAATCAGCCCTGTATCCCAAGGTGCAGGGGCCTCCAACCTTGGGGCTTATTTTCCATGTTAATACAGTTAGATTTGGTCTGAGTTTGCAGGCGAGCTGAGAATTGCTACCTATGGTCACTGACACTCCATTTTTCCCTGAAAGAGAGATGGAAGGAGAAGGACATGTGAGAAGGTGTGCAGGGATGTCACTCTTAGCCTTGGTGTTCTGGTCTGTGTATCACAGGGAAATTTCTGCACTGGTACACATGAACAGGAGGCTATGCCTGTGCTCGTCTGCAAATTGTCTGTCATCTCACATTACTGCTGTGAATGATGGAGCCAGTGGCCCACCACAGCCTGCCCTTGCAATACTATGAACAAATTTCCCACTGGGGCTAATCTTAGTGGATAAGACTGGATACTGGAGCAGGACCCTACTCCTGCCCATTGTCTTCAGCAGTTCAGTATGTGAAGAGCATGTATCTATTGACAAATCCTTCGGTGGGTTGCTCACAGGGCTGTCGTCACTTACAGGCTGAAAAGATAGAAGTATGACCATTGCATTTGACTACATGGTAGTGACTTTTCTCTGGAACTGTTGCTACCAGCAAAGTAAACAACTTTTACTTCTGCATTCATTCAAAATCCAACACTGTGGGCAAAGGCCTTGTCTGCGTATCTCAGACATGGCAAAAGCACAAATAACAGTGGTAGAACTTTGTACAGGAGGAAAGGATTTTGCCTTAGGTCTCAGGGGTGTCTTTCCATTTTTTGAATCCTTATGAACATATACATTTACACTGTAGTGTACATATTGTGTACGTATGTATTCACACTGTGGCTGTACTGTTTTTATTGCAGTGGTCTCCATAGGACATGAATGTAAGTCCTACCCATTTTTGTGCCAGGCACACAAATATGAAGGTGTAAAATACACCCGTACTCCTGTGCCTCTTGCTTGAGAGGCTAAGATTGCAGATAAACTTTATACGATACATCAGCTGTGTTGACTCTCTAATATTGACTATGTCTCGTTCTTGTTCTTTAATTCTGTTTTGTATTTTCTTGGAAAGCTCTTCTTTATTTCTGTTTCTTTCTATGACACTGACTGTTCCTTTGCATTTTAAAAGATGACTCTTGTTTGGAATCAGGAGCAATACCTTCTGTCTTTATCTTTTCTGGATCCATGAACTTAGGATTTGGTCCTCTCGTCCTTTTTGGTAGTTATTGCACTGGCCATTGAAAGGTGGAGATCCAGACCACTACTATGGCTCCTCTGTGTGTTGTGTTTGTTCAAGACAGGACTGTCTTTTATTTTTTCTTCTCTTTTCTTATGAGACCCTCCATTTCTTTTTAGTCAGGAAACTAATTTGCTTGGGATTTCCTTTTCCATAAGCATTCAGGACTGATTATTTTTTTCACATATTGAACATGAATCATGCTTTCATTCTTTATAATGACCAGATTTGGGACCCCTCATCTGCCTGTGTCCTCATCTGACATATACAAGGGGTCAAGTTTCTAAGTCCAAGATTCATTTTGCTATTTCCTTGACCATCAAAGCCTCTCAACATGATGCCACCTTCAGGACAGTTGGTTCTTTTGTTTTGTTTCAACTAGTCACATTGGGACCTTTTCCTTAAGAAAGTATTCTATGGTGGGTTTTGTTTGCCATAAAGGTACATGAGTCTGAGGCACAGGTTGTAACCCAGTGTGAAGAGTAGGTGAGGGAATGAGATGCTGAAATTAAAAGCAAATAACCCCCAAAATTCTGAATGTATGTATATGTATAAATAACCACCTGAAGACGATCTGTTGCAGATATTCAAAATCTCCTAGGTGCAACAATTAATGAGTTCATAGGAATAATCCCTGTAGCTCTAGTTCAAGAAAGCCTCCATTTACCACCTCACTCATTTCCTCTTTTAATAGGTGAGCATTAAACTTTGGGACTGCAAACAGATCTCTCAGTTCTCTGTGTCTCTGGTGGAACTTGAATTACTCTTTCCTTGGGCTGAGTAATGGTTTCAGTGGCATTCTGAAAACTGTATGTGAAGAGAAAATTAGAATACTATTTTCAAACTATGCATTAATCTGGATGGACACCAAAGATTAACCAGCCTGATTTGTACTGACAAATGAGTTTTTCATAAGCTATTCCAAAAATGTTAAACCCCTTCCCAAGCCTTTCAAGGAGACATACTAAAGCAGCAATTGAAAGTTTAGGTGGAGTATGCAAAGAATTAGATGACCTATTTTTTACATGATTAGTCAAACTTTTGTAAGTCTTCCTCCAAGGTACCAGACCTGACTTTGTTGCGTTTTGCTACCTCCTACCCAAATCTGGAATTCCATTACCTCTCCTGTCTGGCAGAATGTGAAGCCCAGTTCCTGAACATTCACAATGTTATAAGAAATGGTCTTAATGCACATCAGCTTTAAATTATTAGTCAAATCATTACCACTATCAACTTCTTTGAGAAAGCTACAGTTGGTTGTAACTTAATAAGATTCTCTGAAATCTCATTATCTTCTTGAATCTAGGTGAATGAACCATTCAAGCTCAACCACTTTTCCGTGTTCCGGGGAAATGATTTCTGACTTGCAAAATGAGTGAAGTTCACTGTATTTTAACTTCTTAAAGATTCCTTTAAAGGTTTTTGCCTTTCCACTTTGGTTGAAGACCCTTCCACTTTGGGTGAAGACCCTTCCTCTGTTAGCAGAGTTCTGTGATACATTATTACATTGGAAGTGTTTTTAAATGACAAATGTTTTTCTGTTTGATGGCATTTCAAGAAAATGTGAGGTGTGTGTTTTAAGCTCAGATTTTACCAGGAGCGGAACTGAAAGAAGCCTTTTGTCTCATGATAGTTTCTGGATGAGCTCTATGAATGTGTCTGAAAATTGGAGAACAAAGCATTTCCTCTCCTAACTTAAAATTGCCAAGAGCCTCAGAGCTCAGAGTCATGCACAGTATGGCTGACCTCATCTGAAAATGACTAAGCAAACCGAAGCATTCAGACAGCCTGCATGTTGGAGCTGGGGCTTTTTTGGATCATGTTTGCAAGTGTTAAGCAAGAACGACAGTGTTGAGCATATATCTAACTGTGTACCCTTTCATTTACATATTAAAGCAGCATCATTTTACTTGTCTTTCAACTCTGCATCTCCAAAGCAGCTCATTGCAATGTACAAGTTCCTCAACACAACCATGCATGCTTCAAGGCTGTGAAGAAAGAGGCAGTGAAAGTGGTGCTTTCTTCTAGGTCTTTCTGTCATATTCTCCTCCAAATGAATCAGGTGCTGTTCGCTTCAAATAAGAAGCCACATGAGTCAGCTTAAAACCTGCTGAATCACATTTAAATACAATTTTAGGTTCACAAGAAATTTGTAGAAGGATTATGAATTCCCCGGTATCTTGTTGTTAATTAGAAGGCTTTTAGTAAGGCAAGAGCTTTGCCCCAGATGGAAGATTAATTAGTAAAAAATCTTGTTTACCCTCTCCCTACATACAGTTTCCTACTTTCCTAAAGAAACCTTATAAACATAAGGTTAAACTGCTTTCACTTTACTGCTGTCTTTCATTGCAAGAGTGCAGGTAAGTGGCATTAATGTAAATATGAATGGTGAACTTTCTTCCTTGATTTACTTCTTTTCTCATACATACTATTAGAAACATAATCTTTAGACTTCTTCTACAGAAAAAGAATGTGTATGTCAAAAATTCTGAAAGGTTTGGATTAATCTGTGTTTCTGAAATGACTTTGAAGACCTTCTCTTATGGTGGGACAAGGATTGTTTTTATCTCTGTAGAACAGAGGTATACTCTTAGGAGGAAGTTTTATTCCATATTATGACCCTAATATCCTGTTAGCATTCTCCCAAGAACTTTCTGAAACTCTATCTTAGCTTTGAAGGCACAGAAAACAAAAACAAGGTAAGGGACAAAGGCATAACTGCCAGAGACTGCACCTATTTTTGATTGTCCTCTGGTTCAACATGGCATGGAAGCATGTTGTGTTGGCAGAGTGCTGCAGATACCTACTAAACTGAGCCTCAAAACTGGCATAGCCAGACTGAGAGTTCTGCTGGGTATTTGCTCATTAGCCCTGATTGTCAGCCATGTGGATGGTTACAGTGCTTCCATTTCTGCAGATGCTCACTCACGTTACCAGGTTGTGCAGAAATCTTCCAGCATGCTTGTTATTCTCCCAAGAAAGCATATGCTAAAAGAGAGCTCTGCTTCGTTTTACCACAGAGCATAGTATTAAATTCAGGTAATTTAAGGTTTTGAACTGTGTGAGCTAAACTCTTGCAACTCACAAGTAAAACAGGACTGGGTCTGAGTAATACTTGATGGGAAGCTTCCAAACCATGAAGAATGATGTCATCCATTTTCATAACTGTTTCTGATGAAAAGAGGATTTGCTATGTCAAGCTAAAATATTATCATAAGAAATTTCAAAACTTGCTGGTTTTTACCACGGGGTTAGCTTTATTTAAAAGGTCTCCAAAATGTATAGTAAATAGCTATGGGATCCACCAGCACAAAGGCAGTACTTTAAATAGAAATATTCCTCATCCCAGACCTGTCCTTCCTGGTCAGCCTTAGCATTTCTTCCAGCTTGGAGAGGTTGCTAGGACCTGACGTTGGACTGAAGCTGGACATGCTCTGCTTTCTTTTCCTAGTGAGCATACGAGGAGCCATATAAGTCTCTAAAAGTATATTTTATTAGAACAGAATTGTGTTCCCTAATTGAAAATACTCATGAATACTCATGAAAATAAAAGACATGAAAATAAATCTCCCCTGCTCTCTGTGCCCCTATAGAACAGATTCTTTCCCTCAGTCCTCTCTTCTACTCCACAAGCTTTTTGTGACTTGTTAGGCTGCATATTTTTCACATGATCTCTTCTGAGCTCTTTCTCCATCACTTCCATGACTTCTTGTGGGTCTGCTCTAATCAAGCCCTTTTCCAGGGTCTCTCAATCTGCTTTCTTTGCCCTCCTTGTGCTGCCTGTCCTTGCCTGCACTCTTGGAGATGTACTCAGCAGCTCTGAGGGAAGACACAATCTCCCTTTCCCTCCAGGAATTTCACTAAAGAGTGTATGTCTGCTCTGCTGGACAACTAAACAAACAAAAGTATTTCTTGTGGTTTAATCCCAGCTGGCAACAAAGCCCCAGGCACTGACTCACCCTCGCTCACTCCCCTGTGGTGGGATGGGGGGCA